GTATTCCAAGCCACCTGTTCTTGGGCTCTTGAATCAACATTTGCAAGTGCCTCTACATGAAGGACCTCCAAGTGGTTGCTTACAGACTTAGAGGTCTAGTGATTAATCATGCGGTGGTGCGAAGCTTTTTGGAAAATGCTTTGTCAAAACTGTTAAAATGAAGACATATACTGTGGAGAATAGGACATTGTAGAAGTAGTAACAAAGCCTGAGATAGAACCCAAGATAATGGCTGAAGGAAGCACATGAGTAGGATGAGATATTTTCAGAGAAAGTTTGAACAGTCAACTTAATAATTTCATTATAAACCAATACTTGGACACTTCAATGGTTAGTCCAATTTTAATATCTTGATAAATCTATATGCATGAAAGACTTTAATCGATATATTAATTAAAATTTGAACAAATATATTGTTTAAATGAGTCTACTAACAAGATCCAAATTTATATCTGCAGTGACTTGCATGTGGATTAATCCATGCAGTGCCAAAAGCACACAAGTTTACTCTAAAGCCCATCGAAAATAATGGAGATAAACTTATGAATAAAGTACAAGATTTTAACTTGGTCCCTTAATTTTTAAAAAGTATAAACAACAACAACAACAAGCCTTTATCCCACTAGGTGGGGTCGGCTACATGGATTGCAAGACGCCATTGTGCTCTATCATTTATTAAGCTTTTAGAAATATTATTAATTAAGAGATCACGTTCAACAACTTCCAAGAGTGTTCTCTTAGGCCTTCCTCTACCTCTCTTAATCGAACTCAAAGTTATATGTTCCACTCTTCTCACTGGTGCCTCCCTTGGTCTTCTTTGTACATGCCCAAACCATCTCAACCGATTTTCTACCATTTTTTCCTCAATAGGTGCCACCCTCACTTTTTCACGTATGTGCTCATTTCGAATTTTATCTTTACGTGTATGTCCGCACATCCATCGTAACATTCTCATCTCTGCTACTCCAACTTTATGCTCTTGCTGTCCCGTTAGAGCCCAGCATTCACTACTATATAACATTGCCGGTCTGATAGCAGTACGATAAAATTTTCCTTTAAGTTTATTAGGCACCTTACGGTCACAAATAACTCCTTTAGCTTTTCTCTAATTAAACCACCCAGCTTGAATTCTATGTGAAATATCTCCACTGATTTCGCCATCATTTTGAATAATGGCTCCCAAATATCTAAACTTTTCCACTTGAGGTATAATTTGATCTCCCAATTTCACTTCCAAATTATTTTTGAATAGTCCTTTACCAAATTTACAATATAAATATTCTGTCTTACTTCTACTCAGACGAAAACCTTTCGACTCCAATGTCCTCCTCCATAACTCAAGTTTGCAATCAACCTCTTCTCTTGTCTCTGCTATAAGAACTATATCATCCGTGAAGAGCATACATTTCGGGATTTCCTCTTGAATATGTTCCGTCAAAACATTTAAAATCAAGTTGAACAAATAAGGACTCAGAGATGATCCCTGATGTAGTCCAATCTTTATAGGAAAATCCTTTGTTTGACCACTAGGCGTTCTTATACTAGTTTTTACCCCCTCATACATATCTTGTATGGCTTTAATATAAGCAATCCGTACTCCCTTTTTTTCCAACGCTTTCCAAAGCACTTCTCTTGGTATACGGTCATAAGCTTTTTCCAAATCAATAAAAACCATGTGTAGATCTTTATCTTTACAACGATACTTTTCCATTAATCCCCTTAGTAGATAAATTGCCTCTGTAGTTGATCTACCTGGCATAAAACCAAATTGATTCTCAGAAATACTTGTCTCCAATCTCAACCTGTGCTCAATTACTTTCTCCCACAATTTCATTGTGTGGCTCATGAGTTTAATCCCTCTATAGTTAGTACAATTCTGAATATCTCCTTTATTTTTATAAATAGGAATTAATGTACTTCTCCTCCACTCATCAGGCATTTTCTTGGACCATAAAATCACATTAAATAACTTAGTTAACCATCTCACCCCTTCTTCACCTAAACATTTCCACGCTTCGATAGATATACAATCAGGTCCGTTAGCTCTACCATTTGCCATTTTCTTAAGAGCTTCCTTTACCTCCTTATCACGTATTTTTCGATAGAATGACAAATTTTGTTCTCCTTCACCAGTTACTAAATCCTCCAAGTTACTAGATGAATCCTCTCCATCATTGAAAAGTTTAGAAAAATAAGTCTCCCATCTATTTTTAATTTCATCATCTGTAACTAAAATTCTTCCCTCTTCATCCTTAATACACCTTACCTGTTCTAGATCTCTTGATTTTCTTTCCCTACTCTTGGCAATCTTATAAATATTTTGCTCTCCTTCCTTCGTCTCAAGGTTCTTATAAAATTCTTCAAAAGCTTTGGAACGAGCTTCACCCACAGCTCTCTTAGTTTCCTTCTTAGCCATACGGTACCTCTCCCAATTTTCCTCATTGTTACACAAATGTATGGCTTTAAAACAGTTCTTCTTATACTTGATTTTGTCCTGTACACTATTATTCCACCACCAAGACTCCTTATCTCTCGGACCAGAACCTTTCGATTCTCCCAAAACTACTTTTGCAACCTCCCGTATCTTTTTAGCCATATCCTCCCATATGATGTTAGCACTTCCCTGAGAATCCCAAATTCCTTTATCCAAAAGATTTCACTTGAAAATATCTTGCTTCTCACCTTTTAATTGCCACCACCTAATCTTTGGTGTTACTACTTGTCGATGTTTTTGGATTTTACTCATAATACACACATCAAGGACTAGGACCCTATGTTGTGTCGTTACAGCATCTCCAGGGATCACCTTACAATTTTTACAAAGTTTTCTATCTGTGTTCCTAACCAAAAGAAAATCAATCTGCGACCTTGAGGCTCCACTTTTGTAAGTGATGAGATGCTCATCTCTCTTCTTGAAACAAGTGTTGGCAATCTTAAAATCATACGCCAATGAGAAATCAAGAAGAGTTTGCCCTTCATTGTTTAGCTCTCCAAAACCAAAACCACCATGCACCCTCGCATACTGACCAGCTTCCCTCCCGACATGCCCATTAAAGTCTCCTCCAATAAAAATCTTTTCACTCTGTGGTATGTGTCGAATCAACCCCTCCAGATCCTCCCAAAATAATTCCTTAAGACTGGCTTCTGTCCCGACTTGCGGCGCATAAGCGCTAACAATATTAACAGTCTCACGTCCAATTATCATTTTTAAAGAAATAATTCTGTCTCCAATTCTGCTAACTTCTACAACATTCTTCTTCCACTCCTTATCTATAATGATGCCTACTCCATTGCGTGCACTTACTTTTCCTGTATACCAAAGTTTGAAACCTTGAATATCCTTAGCTCCTTCTCCACGCCATTTTGTTTCTTGCAAGCAAAGGATATTGATTTTCCTTTGAATCATAACCCCTACAACCTCTACAGATTTACAATTTAATGTCCCAACATTCCAAGTACCAAATCTAATTTTGCTCTTATGGACTAACTTCTTTAGCCGCGTGCGTCCAGAATGACGCAGTAGCCCTTGCTCATTTAACACTACATCCGGGCGCCGATGCAGCGGCTCTAACTCACTTATCACTGTACTCGAGCCATGCAGCGCGTTACTTACGGGCAACGACCTAGCATTAACATTATAACGTCTATTGTCCATGTTCATGATAGATTCAACAAATTTTTACATTGGCTGTTGATGGCCTAACACAACCCTCCTCCTTTACCCGGGCTTGGGACCGGCTATAAACATAGGCGGAGTTTTAAATAATTATATTTTTAGTTTTTTAACTCTAACACTGTTAGTTTTAAATAATTATTTTTTGTGTCAATGTTTAAAAAAAAACTTAATAAGTTAACATTTGAAAATGTTTTATCAATATTTACAAATTTAATATAAAAAAATTTTTGTGATGAAACTAATGGTGTTAAAGTTAAAGGATTAAAAATACACTTCATAAAATTAAGTAATTAAAATGAAAACTTATGTAAAATTAAAGAATTAAAATTATACTTTACCTTAAAATTATGGAGCATTATAAAGATAAAATTGACGCTTTGATTGTGGTTTGGATGATTATGACAACAACATCCTTTGCAGCTGCATTGACATAGCTGACGGTGTAGCTGTGAATATGGTACAGAAACCAGATGAAAGAGAGAAAACTCTCACAAATTGTAGAAAAGGTTCTTAAATTTCTTGATGCCATACGTAGCAAAGAAAGGCCTATTTGCAGATGTCGTAGAGGGATATTTTCGTCCTAAATCAAGGCATTACAGTATGGAGTTGAATTTTCATTATTTGCCTAATGGATTTACAAGCCATTATTTTTTAGCATTATTGTGATTATGATAGCTATTCAATGGCGAATTCATGGAGTGGGAGAGGGAGAGGAAAGACTTTGGATGAGGAAGTGACTTCCGTTTCGGAATCTACATCACATCACGTTTCTTTTTGTACATTCTATGTCTAACAATTTCTATATATGGTTCCATTTGAGTAATTGAAGAGAGGTCGATGTAGTTTACTCAATATTTGATAAATAAAAAGCTAAGATTAAGGATTATCTTGTGGATAATTGGCTTAGCTTTTGTGGTAAGAGATTCTTGTGAATGATTGTTGGATGGTTATGCTACTAACTGTAATGCTGATTCTTCTTTCATGGCGAACGCTTGAGAATGTAATGGCTCTAGACTATGCAAATAACGAATCTTTATTTGAGGGAAGCTAACTATGTTGTTGATTTGACTGGACAGATAGAGCTTCATCAAAGGGATTGTGCCTAATTGATTAGGGTTTTGTCGGATCGTGTTGGAGATTTTGATGCTGGAAATTTTCCTTTTGTTTATTTGAAGTTTATGTTTGTGTTTATTTTTGTTTTTGTTTGCGGACCTTTATGATGGCTATTTTAATGAATTTATTTCTCCATTGGCAAATAAAAAATAGGAAGAAGAAGAAGAAGAAGAAGAAGAAGAAGAAGGGATTGTCTTAAAGAAAACAACGGTAAAAGAATAAAATCAAAGTAGATTCCAATTGAATCAATGACAAAATTTGTATACATGTCATTTCACTTTTATTGCCATCCGATAAGTGAGATTATGAAAGAGATGGCCATTGACTGAGCTCTCTGCACATGAATTACAACTATAAGCACACAATGTTACTCAGACTCGTTCAAACTTTGATTTTTAACTCACTTATCCACAAATGAGTGAATGTATCATCTCCAATCCAATAAAAAGAGAAATAGACCTTCTATAGGGCTTCTTGTACTGTTGATTCCATCTCTTCAACTGTGAACAAGTCAGCATCAAGTATATCCAGAGACTACAATTCAGCTGTGACTACTTTGCCTCGTGGGATATCATAATGAACAAGTAAGGACAACCACGGCATGGACCAAGAATGAAAATATCTCGTGCTTATAATTCTACAGTTTTAGCTTTGTCGCCGAATGAATGGATTTGCATAAGCTGGCTCCTCAAACTGCACTCTTCCACCTAAAAAGTAGGCCATATTTTTCGTAAACTCAGATAAAGCTGATAAATGGGGGAGTCATGTGCACACATGCTGTGGCAGCCTGTATCTTTTGGTAATTTATAATATGAAACAAACTCCCAAAGGTAATTTATAGATAGATGATTGTAAAACTCACAAAGGTAACTATGAACACCGCCTCCTAAATAAACTTCCAAATTCCAATCTTTTAAAATTTCCCCTTTGACATGTTCCTAACATTTATTATTATGATGTGAAATGCTGCTGGGATTGTACACTGTAGATGTGTCTATTATAGGATTATGTCAGCATGACTGGTTTCAGAGTGTGACAAACCTGTGATTTGTATGCTCTTGCCAATGAACTTCCACATTCTCCAATAAGAGCTCTTTCTCCGCCAACAATCCTGGCTAATTCTGAAATAGACATATCTGTTTCTTCAACCTAAATTTGACGGGCTTTTATTAGTGTAATTTCTAAAAACACAATTAATAATGTACAAATAAAACTGCAAAGTACATCTACTTGCATGTTGCATCCCATTTTTCCAGCATAAGCTAGCTGGGTTTGATAGAGTAACCTTTCTATTTTGTTTTGTTTGTTTTTCCCAAGAATGTGTTTTTAATACAACAATGTGATCAAATATTTTCAACCTCAGCTTACTTTGATGTCAATACCATGAATACTAACAAAAAAGACGTTAGCAAATAGTTCGAGAGAATTATGTGCATTTTATTGTAATGTTAACAGCAAATGCCTTTAATTTGTCGTACCTTTGACATAAATCTTTGGACATGGAAAACAATTGATTCCATCAACTTCATGGCTGAGTTTATCGCCTCCGCCACCTCTCTTGCATCAGCCTGTGGTATGAATATTTTGTTGGTAAGTAAAACTTGCAGCATTCAGAACGTATAATAGAGAAAAGGAGGAGTAATAATCATACCTTCACATTCCCACCTACAGGAAGTTGCACTGAGGCATTCAACAATGCCTCAGTTGCCTCAGTCAAGGAGACAGAATACCCTTCTTCTAAAGTGGACCACTCATCCAAATAAGGGATCTGTGATACATTTAGTGGAAAAAAGTTAACAAGACCAAAAGAATGACAAGTGAATCAATTTTTTAAACAAATAAATGAAAAACCATACTTGGAGGAAAGAAATAGACATGGTTATGTAAAATAAAATGTTGAATACACTCTAATCTTGAAGAAACAAATCCAGAATCAGGATATTAAATTTGATTTTAAAAAAAACACATGGAAAAGGGAGGAGGGAAGAAGAAACTACAAACAAGAATACACTCTAATCAAGGAAAAGAAAACAAAATAAGACAATAGATGTTTTAAAGAATTAACTTGGCCATACTCTTCAAAGAGCTATGCTTTAGAGGATATTAGTTTCTTAAAATAATTTTCAAAGACAAAGGATGAGACTTAAGTAGTAACATCACAATGAGTAATAATAATTCCCAGTAAGGATTTTTGTCATAAAAAAAAAATAGAATCGTCACTTAAATAGTAACACCAATTGAGTAATAATAATTCCCAGAAGTATTTTTGTCATGAACAAAAAATAGCATCGTCTTATTCACAGATTAAATACCAAGTACATGATATTAACAATTTGTGCTCTACGGACATCAGCAGAGGCCTGAGGATACGATGCATCTTATGCATGCTTTAGAAGAAGACATTAGCTGCATAAGGTTATGTCCAAAATCAAAGTTTACTTAAGTAGTAATACTGCAATGAGTAATGTAATTCCCAGTGTAAAAGCATTTTTTGTCACGTGCAAAAAAGAAATAGCAGTGCCCTAATTCACAAATTAGATGCAAAAACCAAAAAAGAAAACATTGGATCGATGGCCCTACTTGAGGTTCAAGAAGTGTTAACAAAGTCTTTGCTCTCTGCAAAAGCTGCACTTCTAAGCGTTTCAAGTTCACGGAATCACGAAACTCTGATATTTTCAATGCTAGAGAATAAAGTGCTTTCTGCAAGAATTAGGAAGATGGAGGGGGAAGCAACAAGAGGAGAGAAAAGTGAGTAAACTGCAAAAGATTATATAAAAGGACTTGGAAGCTGAGTCAGACTGACTGAAAGAGCAAATGCATGTATGTAAAGAGATATTCTGATAGTTTAAGCAACAGAAATCTGCATAATTGATCACGATGCCACATTCATATATACAAGTTCTGAGTATATGCCATAAAATTATATTTAATTTATAGGGTAAATGACTTCAAAAAAACTAAAATTAAAATGATCTATGAACAAAAATTTAATTTACAGTCAACTAAAATAGGACGATCACATGTCACATCACAGACGTGAAAATCAAGTGTCCGAGATTTATTCACTGCGCCCCAACGTTTCATGAGATAGCTGGAAATTACAAAATATCCTTTCAAACTATAATCTATATCATTTAGGCTTTCAGCCTTCCTTCAACTTAGGTTTTATGGCATAAATAAACCAGTGATCCACATTCTTGCCAATCATCAAATAATCTCTGCTAAATTCCTCTTCAATCAACAGGCAACAGAGCTAGAAGTTTAGAACTACCAACACAAATAATATAGGTTTTCTGTTAAGCTATAAACTTGTTATTAGGTAAGAAAAAGAACACAGACCACACACCTCACTTTCTCTTTGCTGAGCTTCCATTGAGGATTCTGCTTTTGCATTGGCATATCTCCATTGCAGATGACGATTATATAGCAATCTCAGGCTATGCACTTCTTCCTGATGACTGGAACCTTTTTTACCTTTCTTTGTATCTGTTCCCGGTTTTGGACACGGAGCTACTGGGGGCAAGCAAAAACCTCCAACTTTTGCAGAATTTGTATAATGCTTGACAAGAGAAGTAACTTGCTTCTCACTCCCCCTTACGGAATGATTTAGTAAATGCTCACTGCCTGATAAAGACATGTTAAGGGAACGAGAGAAAGGTGTTGTGGGGTATTTCAAATTGTCTCCACTACTTCTTACAGTACCCTTATTGCCAGTTTTCTCATCCACTGATCTGGCAGGCGCAGTAGGCAACATGTCTCCCTCAAGCACAGACGACCGAAATTCTGGAAGTGACTGTATGCTGCAGTTGACCTCCGAGTTGCTATGATTTTCGTCATCAGAGCATACCGAAGAAGTATCCCCAGACATCGAATTGGTTTCTTTATGGGGCGAACCAACGTTGCCCTTAAATGAATTTGCAGTGGAAGATTGACTTCCTGCTGACATGCCACTTGCTTGCAATAGTTTTGCAGCGGCTGTGGCATTCATACTAGCAGAGCGTTGATGTGGAGTGAGTCTGTATCTTGAGGATACCGTTAGTGTTGGAGTGTCAGGTCTTAAGTAGGGTGAGGTAAAACCATTACCGATTCTCCCAGAACAGGACTTTGAAGGGTGAGGAGGTTGCTGTTCAACTCTTCCTCCTCCACCATTCTCCTTGAAGAGTTTCACGGCTCGTTGTTTTCTCTGTATAGTGGTGGTCGTATTTACTACATTTGATTTACACTGAGATCCAAAAGGAAATGGAGTTTCCGAATTTTCTACAAGTCGGTTCTCATCGGCGGTGCTCAAGGGATCTACTTCTAATTGCTGATGCCTCGACCGCCTCTGTACAGATGATACCGCCGGAGACATAAATCTAGAACTCACCTCCCTAACCCTAGGCCGACGTTGATGAGAAGGAGTGGGTGGCGGAGGCGGAAGAGGAGGTGGAGGAGGAGCGGTAGCGTCCTTAACCGTCTCCATCGAAGAATTGGACTTCTCTGTAACTTTGAGCTGCTTATGTTCTTGCATCACTGTCTGAAAATTTTTGCACAGCTAAACCATTCAATTCAATTTCCCTATTGACAAGAACGAAAAACAGCCTAGATAAGTAAATTTATCTCTGATAGATCAATTCTCCCAGAATTTGACGGAAATTAACAGAGAAAGCACAATAAAACTGAAGATGGTTACCAAATCGAAGTTCCGGTTTCAGAATTTCTTTCGCATCGACGATTCTCTGTCTCACCCCGTTTGGAGTATATGCATTACAGAGGCGAGGGGAGGTTTTGAACTTTGAAGTCTCGAGTTCAGTGGAGACTCAACCAATTCCGGGGGAAGCGAAGGTGTGCGCGACGATGGAATGGGGGTGGGGGAAGACGAGAGATGGTTGTGTCGTGTGAGGAAGGAAACTAACCGTTGGCTATCGTTGGTACTGTTGCAACGGTCCGAATTTCAAATCCACATCACGCGAGGTCTGAGGTTCCTATCGCTTCACCACGCGCTCTCTCTCTCTCTCTCTCCCCCTCTAGAAATCACAAAGAGGCTTCCCACAAAAATTCTAATTACCCAAAAATCTCACCAAATATAAAAATAAATCCGAAGACTCATGTTTTAATTGTGAAAAAGTTTAAAAGTACAATTACCAAAATGCTTTTATTTTTTAAAAAAATTAAAATATATTTTCTCATAATTGTTGACTCTAGTTAGTGATGATAATTAACTGTTAGTGATAGCACTATAATAGTCAAGCAACGATTGATGCTAGCAATCATGGAAAGAGATATTTTTTTTTAAGAGCATTTTGGTGAAATTCATTACAAAGTCTATCATAGGATTTTTTTAATTATCATAAGATCTCATAAAATATACAAATTAATCTCAAGTCCCAAATCTTTTATTTATTAATAAATTTTATGTATAATTATTAAAAATAGGGAGAATGATAGGTAGGTCCCTAAACACTAAATTAATATTAGTTAAGTCCCCAACAATTTTTTTTGAAAAATAAATTAAAAATATCAATCTAAATTATTATAAATCTAGAAGTTTCAACTACAAATAAGTATTTAAATATCAAGTATAACTTTTAAATTGTAACAAAAATTTCTGTTTATAACTATTTAAATTTATATTTATAATTCATTTTGGGAAAAATTTCATTGGAGACCTAACTGTCATTAATTTCTTCTTTTAAGACCTAACTATCATTTTTCCTTAAAAATATCCTTATTCTATTTTAAAAAAAGTCAACCCATCTACCATTGTGCAATGCATGTATTGTTGGCATCAATTTTAACTGACAAGTAAACATGTGTAAACAGCAAAGACATGTAGTCTTCTAACTAAGACAAGTAGCTGCATTTTGTTCTTTTTATAATTATTTAACTGCACTTTTGTGTCAAACATTGCAATTTTATGCCTTTAGTATAAGTATACCTAGTAGCAAAGTGATCCCCTTGTACTGGAGAGTGATGAGTTCAATCCCTCGCACAGAACTAGTTTAGTCTCCTTCCAATTCAAAAAAAGAAAAAAGAATAAGAAAAACACCTAGAATTTAATTGAATTGACACACACAATATTATTGACAATTAAAAGTCCATGAACTTGATCCAAAAAAAAAAAAGTCCATTAACTTACAAGTTTCACATTTACATTTATATTGACAAGTAAAAGTTGTTGAATTGACAATTAAATGTTAATTATTGAACTCACAAGCTAGCTTCCTATATTTATAAGTTACATTCTAGTTCTACATTCATTCTAACAAGTCAAATTTACTGAACTAACAAGTTAGCTTTCAATTTTTAACAAGTCAATTTATGGGTCAATGGTATTTGTTGATGGATTAACTCTTAACAAGTTTCAAAATTACACTGACAAGTCACAGGTTATTGCACTGGAAAGTTGGCTTTTACATTTTTAATAAGTTAAGTTGATGTTATGAGGTGTTTGCTTTGCTGATGCATCAACTCTAAACAAGTTTCAATTTACACTAACTAGTCAAATTTATTGAAATGATAATTTGGCTTCCCATTTTTAACAAGTCAAAAGCTGGTCCAAAGTTATTGCATGATGAATTAACTCCAACAAGTTTCACATTTTAACTCCCACAAGCTCCACATTTAAACTAACAAGTCAATATTACTGGACTCACAAGTTGGGTTCCCATTTTCAACAAACTAAATTTTAGTTTGGACAAATTCCACATTTATCAAACAAGTAGATTCTCATTTTTAACTTCTTCATATTTTGAGATGCTTGTTAAAGTACTAGGTTCTAAACATGTTCCACATTTACATTGACAAGTCAAATTTACTGAAATGACTAGTTGGCTTCTCATTTTTAACAACATCCTTTTTGAAAGCTTATTTAGATTCAAAGAGCCTTTTGTGCTCTTACCCTTCATCTTTAGGCTCTTCATCGATTTTCCCAGATGTTACAATTAAGATCAAAATCAAGAAACCACAAATGCAAAAGGTAGTAATACCCACGATGAAAGAGTCATCTTGCCCTTTACACAAGGCATGGTAATGATTGACAGTACTTCAAGCCTCAAGATTATGTTTCGCAAGATGGGTATAAAAAAGGAGAACAATAATTAAGTTTCAAATTATTGAATCAATAACAATTAACTCTCTCAAAAAAAAATTGAAAAAAAAAGTTTAAAATATCGACCTAGATAATTATAAATAAAAAAATTTAATTGTAAATAAGTATTTAAGTATAAAATATAACTCTTACATTGTAAGAAAATTTTTTTTAACTATTTAAATTGATATTTATAATTTATTTTTAAAAAAATCTTATCATAAACCTAATTGCCATTAATTTAATTTATTAGGACTTGACTGTCATTCTTCTTATGAAAAGTGGGCCACCATCAGGGTTGAATGAAGTCATAGGATCAATCTTTAGCTACCGTTTTCCCCCTCATTGAGCAAAGTTATTTTAGTCATTTTACATACAAACTTATTCTACTTTCAATCCCTAAAACCTGCAACGTTGTTTCATAATCTTTTAGTTTTCATTTGAAAATTTTTAGCCATAGAGGGCCTTTAAACATATTCTCCCATGAATATTTGAAACTATACTTTCTTCAAACAATTAACGCCAAAATGTGTACAAATTTTTGTGTATAAGCAATGAATAACATGTTTGTTATGTGAAAATTAGGTGATTTATAAGTACCTTTGCAAGCATTTTTTTTAGCCTAAAGAAATGTTCTAATCTTAATGAGTTATTAAAACCCAACTTACCTAAACTTTTTATTCTAAAAAAAAGAAAAGAAAAGAAAATAACATAAGTTTACTTGGAAAAGCGATAATCCCATGCTACATCTCATGGTGGTTTTTGGAGCAAGAGTTTAAACCTTAACATGGATGTGAGTTTACTGTTAATCATGACAAGAGTTAGGCAGCCAGTTTGCATTTGGCATTTTATTAGTTTGTTTCATTTTGTCTGAAATTGAATAAGTTTTACGTAGTTTTCCAAAAAAAAATAGTGTTAAATAGAAATTTTGTCCATGAATTATAAGTTTATAAATGTTTAGAGTCCTAAACTCATTTTTAGTACAATATTCTCTTTCAACATTTATAAATATATTGTTAATAATTATTAACTTTGAATTATAGTTGACCATAAAATTAAAAAAAAACAAATCTCAAAAAAATATAAAAATGAACCAAAAATTACAAATAAGTACATTATAAGAAAATTAATCCTAATTAAATTTTCTAAATTACAAATAAATACCAAGAGACAAATGTTATTTCTTTTCTCATTTAAAAGACTAAAATACCATTTTAACCAGTTATTTTGACCTACTACCATTTTAACCAAAATTATTAAAACAAACATATTAATTTTTAATTACTTAGCTATGTTGATGTTAATAATGGTAATACAATAATCACCTAACAACTAATCAAAATGATTGGTTAAAATTGAATGTCTTTTATATGTAAAAGAAATAAGATTTATCTCTTGATATTTATTTGTAATTTAGTAAACTTAATTGAAATTAATTTTTTTATATAATACTCATGTGTAATTTTTTTAATCTTTTTCTGTAATATTTTGATCAATTAATAGTTATATTTGCACGGCTGCACAAATATTTAAAAAAAAAAGAAAAAACATACATTTTGATCTCTACATTTTGCTCATGTTTTGCTATAAATCCTGTACTTTTTTTTCAATATTTTAAATCCTTACACTTATTTTTCAATGTTTTACGTTTATCTAAAGTCTCTACATTTAGTTCATTTAGAGATCTAAAATATTGAAAAATGAAGGTGTAAGAAACCAAAACATTGGAAAGAAAAAGTGTAAAAACCTATAACAAAATACAATGCAAGGATCAAAAGGTATGTTTTTTCCAAAAAAATCCATAAAATACAACCCCCCAAAAAGGAAAAGTATGCTATGACAGAATCACAATAAAATAACACTAACTATGGATACTAGAACATAAAAATAAATTATCACTTCTCCATTTTGTGTCATAACAGGCAAAATTATGGATAAAAAATATATATTCTATCGTAATTTAATCTCATTCGGTTCACATAATTTTCACATAATAAAGGCAACTAAGAGAATCTTTTGTTCATTCCCTTTGCATCTCTCTAACAAACCACCAAAAGGACCATTTTCAACGTTCGGATCAATTGGCCATGACTTTTTACCATTTATAAAAAACGTCAAACATTGCGCAACAGGCGAAAGCTCCTCGACGAGCCACGAAAACATGTGCAATTTGTTAGGGCAAAATCGCTTTCAAGTAGACTCAGGGAAATACAGATATGGACAATAGAATTACATAAAGAATCAGAGAGAAGAAAGCAAGCCAAAGAAGCTAGAACAATATAACTGACCAAAGGGGTTTGATTTCCACCCCAATTTTCTAATGAAAGAAACTAAGGTTTATATCACATGCTGTTCCCTATGGATTAAATAATTTCCGGAACGGTCCGTCCTTCCTATCTTTGGCAGCTTCAGTTAAAGCGAGGAATCTCTTGAACCCTGTGGTGGCAGCTCCTCGTCCAAGTGCAGCAGCCCTTGTTAGCACATCCTCCCGAGAGCCCATGAGTCCAACAGAAATAGGACTCAGCACTGCAGGGGCGGCCGGGGCGGCTGGAGAAACTGCCGGTAGAATCGGAGTTTGCTTTATTCCAGGCCCATGTTTGTTGAAGTCATCAAGAATAGTTTGTTGATCAGCTTTTTTAAGTCCCTGCAACCAATGTAACACCAGTTATTTGGACATGAATAACTTACAGAACGCACATTCTTGGGCAGCATCAAAAACTTGAAAAACTTTGCATCATAATATCACCCGAAGGCAAGAGCAAATCGATGATAAATATTACCAAATTGAACATTTGAATAGTCAGTCAACCACATTCGATTGTTACATGGGACTCGTTGATATTACACATGGACACTTCCAATTTTATGCTTTGCAGAATTAAACTGAGTGCAATTTCCACCGTCACTTCAATTAACCTCCTAAATAAAAATAAGAAATTTGAAGTCCAAGTAATGAACCTTCGATCAGTAGCAATGAAAGAGCGTCCTTGTTAAGGACTGCAGCTTTTAGTCAAGAGATTTCTTTGAATCTACTAACATATATACCAAATCACCAACTATTTAATTCCGCAAACACTGAACATTATGATACTTATTCTTTTGAAGACTATTCTTTTTGTCATACTTCAAAAAAGTTTGCAATGCAATAACATTGCTGGAATATGAAGTGCATAACTCATTTATAATCAATTGTTAAACTTGGATTTTAGGAAAAGATTAAGCAGTGGACTCACTGTAATTTCATTTTACCCTACATTTAATGTAACCATATAAAATGCATTTTATGTACCCAATTAGAAGTGACTTATCCCCGGTCCTTGACCTTGACTTACTCAAAGATGACAGCCTCTTCGATCTTTCATCTTAAGACCAGGCCAACGATATTATGCAATGATCAATAACTAATTTGAGAATTCAATAAAATATTAATCAAAAAGCTAATTATAACCTTAAGTTCCAGTATTCTCTGAAACTCCATGGGTGTACCCTCAGGTAGCAATGCACGGTATGTATCCGCTACAGAATCAACAGGCGAGAGAATAACCTAAACAAAGCGATTTACACAACCTTGAATCAGGAGGAGGGTCTAGACCTGTATGAAATAGTAGTCTTCCAACTAATAACAAACCTTCAATAGGGCCTCCGCTTTACTCATCTCACGACTTACAAACTTTGAATAACTAGCAGCACCTGATGTCTGTCAGAAAATCAGAAGTTTTGTTAGTACAACCAGTGAACGATACACAAACCCCTGACAAGCAGAAGATAACTGCACATGTGAAGACTAAGAAAATGATGCTGCATACTATTTAACACAGCCATGTTCATAGATAGCAGGCCGGTAACCTTCGTCTAGTCCATAATTTAGTTTGTCTTCCAACCATCTCAAAAGAACCACTTTTTATTTCCTACTTGGTCTTGGGATGTAATTAACCCCACAATTCCATCTACTTTCATTTCAATGATTTGCAATGCACATACTAAAGTAGATATTGAACCGTCAGTTATTCTCTAAATCAACAAAACTAAGACGAAAATGAAATGTCTTAGCTTTATTGATTATCAGTAGATATTGCTCTGCTCAAAAATGGTGCAAGGAAGGACATATATATGTCAACAGTAAAAATGAGGGAAAATCATACCATAGAAGTCCCGAAATACCAAGTAATAAAAAGGTGATTCAGAAATCAACGCAAAAAGGGTTGCAAGCGCACAAACAGAATATAGTTGTTGTGACTACAAATTTGCATTTGTACGAGCTAAATCACCTGTCTACCAAGGGAAGGAATTTCTAGAAGGATAGTCTTGACAGCTTGAGTATCCAATAGCATCTGCAAAAGCATTAAATCATAAACACGTCTACATCATAAAATTGAAGACCTCATCATACAGCATAAATTACAGGAAAACAATATCCTAATAATTATATTCCCGTTCATAATACAGAATAAAATGATAGTCAATCTCCATATGGTTTTCATTAATTTGAAAAAAGAAAAAAAAAAAAAAAAGCTTATGATTGAGCACCAAAAGGTGCTTGTGTTCTCATACTGGAGCTATAAAGGATATATATGAAGGGGAAACAATTAGTGTGAGAACACCTAGAGGTGATAACAAAGACTTTCTTATAGATAAGGATTGTTCTACATCAACAATCATCCTTTAGTCCTTAGTTGTTTGACCTGGTTTTTGATGTTCTGACCAAGCACATCTACAAGAAAATCACCAAGTGCATACTCTTTGCAAATAACATAGTCCCAATCGAGGGGTCAAGAGAAAATGTTAACTCTAAATATGAACTACGTAGATAGACTAAGGAATCAAAGGGTTTCCTTCTCTGGATAGGAGCAAGACAAAATATAAGCATTGAAAATTTAACAAGAGGCAAGTTAGAAATTATTTGAGAGGTAAAAATTGGAAATTAGATAATCCCACAAGTGTTAATGCTCAAGTAGCTGGAACTGATATTACAAAATGATAGTAAAATTGTTGAGATGTCATGCGTAGGATACAGGCTAGATTATTGAAATGGAGGAAGGCATCAAGAGGTATTTGTAATTGCAAATTGCAAATTACAAATTAAGCTTAAAGGGATGTTTTATCGAGCTTCTATAAGATTAATGATGTTATATATAAAAGTGAAAGTTGGGCTTTGAAGGAACAATGAGAGCAACAAATTGAGATAGGAAATATGAGGATGTTAAGATGGATATGTCATCATACAAGAAATGATAATATCCTTAATGACTGCTTACGAGGAAAAGCTAACATGACATTTATTGAGGACAAGATGATAGAAAATCTTCTGAGGCAATTTAGACATATGCAAAGAAGATTGATGTAGATGCCAATAAGGAGAGTTGAGCAAATGGTCTTCAGACCTATAAAGAGATGTAAAGGGAGACTAAGATACTCAAGGAAGTTATTGAGCGAGATCTATCGATAAATGATATATATGAATAGTTAATTGTTGATAAAACACAATGGCATTGCCTTATCCATGTAACCAACCTTACTTAGTGAGGTGAGGCTTCTTCTAATTGTTGCTAGAAGAATGGTATGTTGTCACAAAGAATTCTCATAGGTACTTTTATATGATTTTGAGTTCTCCAAGAAGTATATTTAAATAAATTCCTTCACAAGCACCTTGTGTAAGGACCCTAAACTCAACTTCAACAATGCTCCAAGCCTAAACAAGTTTTCTTTTATCTCCAAGCTACAAGGTCATGACATGTAAATGTGCTATAACTTCACGTAGATCTCCAATCAATAACTAACTAGACCAATCTACATCCATATAAACATAACAACTCCTATTTTCCCCCTTCATGAAGTAGATAACCTTGGCCATGGTCATTTTCAATAATTACTTCAAACTTCCAAGTGTTCCCGATTTGACTTGTTCATAAATTGGCTTATCGTGCTTATTAGAGAGTTGATGTCAAGTCTAGTATGTAAGAGTTGAATTATCTACTAGTCTTTCATACACCTTGTGTCAACAGAACAATTTCAACTTCAACCTTAAAGTTTGCCTCCATAATAGTATCTTGCTTGCTTGAAACATTGCATTATTGTCTCCTCCAGTAGATCCAACATGTACTTTCTTAGAGAGACAACAATACTCTCCTTGTATCTGGCAACCTCCACCCCCAAAAAAATACTTTAACTCTTCTGAATCTGCAACATTGAATTCTCAACCAAGAACACTCTTTATTCCCCATATTTTATCAATGTAATCACCAATAATCACAATACCATCAATATGCACAATCAAAGTGGAAATTTGGTGAATATTTCATCAGCTTAACTCTGATTATACCCACATCTGTAAATAGTTTTGGTAAATTTATCGAACCAACCTCTTGGGATTGCTTCAACCCATAAAGTATTTTTTGAGTTTACAGACTTATGCATTGTGTTGTAAGTCGGAAACCACTTCCGTACATAATTATTCTACCAAAACTCCATCTAACAACACATTCTTCACATCAAGCTAATGGGGCAGCCAATCAATATTAGCTTCTGACAAACTAATTACTAAGCTCTATTCCTTCATTTCCAATTGTTGTAAATGACTTATTAACATTGTAACCAAACACTCCGAACCCTATTTGTAGACAAACTATTTAGCTCTCAAAGAACCAAATCAGATCATCATTGAACTCTGAAATTTTTCACGATATCAAAGACTAGAAGGCTTGAACGACATACCAGCATGTAGGCTCAACATGGAAAATGGTGAATTAATGACATTTCCCAGCGAACCAGGCCATTGAGCATACATTTCCCAATCACTTAAAAGAGACTTGCTCAAAAGTGTGGTTTGAGCATTGAGAAAGTAAAATAATAATAAAATTATAATTATAATAATTATAAATTATTATTAATTTTTTAAATAATAATAACCACATACATGAACACTCAATTATCTACTATGGCAGCCATTGGTACTTAAACCTAATTGTACACCACCAAGTGAGATAAGGCATGTTATATCGAGGAAGTTTGTGGGAAGTCCATGGGAAATCAGCAACTGAAGATCAAGACCAACGAGAATTGTCACAAAAATTACTTGAAAATAAGGATTAGAACACTTACAAGAAAATTGTGGTTTCTAGGAGTCTAGCTCAAGCAGCACTTGATTTCAAAGACAAAATTTGCAATGCTTGGAAGATTAGATCCAAGCTAGGTATGATTAATATTTATTTTCCAGGTTAAAGGAGAATGCTGGGAGGGGTAAAAACATTTTTTAAGATGTTCGAAGGACATGTTTTACTCGATGTGCTATTTAGCGGCATTTATTATTATTAAGTAGCTTTAAAAAAATAGTTTAGTTAATCTAGAAGGCATTATCTTACTTTCTACCTACCAGCATTTGAACTTGTGCCCAAGTGATTCACTGTCAAACAATGAGCCACAAAGGCAAAAGTCAGCTGGTAGAAGGCATTATCTTACTATGTTTCTATGATCTTGTCTTTCTGTTATGATAGGAGCTTTATATTTTAAATTTTATCTTACTAGGTTGTTGGCTTTTATTTCAACCTCGTATTCAGGTCAAGATAATTTAGTTTTTAATTCAAATTTCATACTCCCTCTGTTCCTCAATATGATACCCAGTTGCCAAAATTATAGACCAAGGAAGTTAGTTGTGTCTAAATGTTTTTTCTTCTTTCCAAAATCTACCCCTAATTAAATGTTTTATGATGGTAAAATCATTTATTAGGAGTTGGGGAAAATCATTAAAAAGAGATACATGTGGAAATATTTCATAAAACATCCTAAAATTTTGAACAAGGTACTATAAAAAGGAATTAGGGCTTTAAAAAATTGGGTACCATACTGGGATGTAGGGAATATTAGCTATTTCCATGGGATTTGCACCTTAGAACTCCAATCCATTTGAACTGAAGCATTCAGCTTTCAAAGAAAAGGAGTCGGCACTTAAGAGGGAAGCCATGTAAGAATCGATTGAGTTAAAGACAGATTGATTTTGAAATTCAGCATTTATGAGAGAAGCTTGATAAATATACTAGAAGATATAATGAAAAGTTAAGTACCTGTTGAGCTCCTGTTTCTGATATTTGCTTGCATTTGAAGATATTAGAATAAAAACGTGGACCAAGAGAAGATGCAAGCTGCATATAAAAGCAGGAAAACGATTTAATACATAGAACTGAATTCATAAATCCCGAGAGCCAAGTTGATAAACTATAAGGAAATATTACGTAATCAAGTTCAGTAGACATTCAGAATAATGAAATATGCTAGAGTATGGAGACAAATTTCTTAAATAAACACAAATATGTGGACTGGATTCCAAAAGTAAACAAATTACCACCACCACCCTTTTCTTTTTCCCCAAGGTAGAAAGATGAAGTTGTAAGGGACTAGGATCAGGGACTGTTGAAGCTTTTCAATGGGTTTCGTTAGGAAAGTGGGAAATAAAAATGGCTGATCATGAAAGTAAGGCAAAAAATGGAAAAACTTTTGTGGGAGGACTTAGCCCCTCACATGGCCGGAGGCTTTTAAGATTCCTTCTAAACATCAATTGGAAACCCAAATTCCATCCCACTGATTTCCAAATTAAGAAGAATGTTTTATACCACAGAAATTTATGTTAGCCGGCAATGTAAAATAATATAATGATATTTCAAAAGAAAATTGAAATTTGAAAACAAAAAATTCAAGGATAATCTAATAATGACAGGCATTACACTAGAAAAGGATCCATCCCTAACTCCTAGATTAATTTCTGTAAGCCATAACTTAAATCAAGAATAATCACCTTGTCTAGAAAGAACTGAAAGTAGACAGGTGAAAGAAGGCTTCCAAGTACAGGAATGCTAGTGGTTAGAATCATGTTTATGCCATTAACATACCTACAAGAAAACTATATGCAATTAAAAGATAAACTTGATCAGAAACAGCAACAGATTCAGCTTTTTTGAAGAAATTAGCTTACTCAGATTGATCACCAACACTCTCAAGGGTGCCCCATGGAACACGTGTCATTGCAGCCATTTCGATGTCAAATTTGGTTTCCAGACCATGCACTAGAGTGACTAATGATTTCGTTATAACAGCTGAAAATTCATCCTGCATGATTGTTTGATTACATTAGATTAAAACTCCCAAGAAAATGTCCCACTTATTTGAGAAATTATGGCTACCTGAACTTCTGACATATCTATCCCATCAGCATATTGAGGATCAATTATTTTAGCTACACTTTCTGCCAGTTCACCAGCCTGCAAAGCATAATATCCAGTAACTTGAAATAGCATGTATACAACATAAACTAGATCAAAGGTGTTAAAGAAACTAACAGACCGTCTTGTGGCAATATTCAGCCGAATTAACAATATAGCAAATCACCCTTTCATCCCTATCAGATGTCTGTTCAACATTTTCAAAGATTAGAGAAGGCAAGAAAAAGGTTTCACAACAAGAATAGTAAGTTACCAAAAAATCATGGGAGGAAAAGCCCTATTACATTATACCTTTATCTGTCCGTCCATGCCTGTGGCTGCAGCAACAATTCCTGTGCCCCCCTTGGGTAGTCTTGTAAAGAGTTTTGTAGCATATGCTTTCAGAATTCTTGAGAAAACCTAAGATTGAAAGGCATAAACTCATAAAATACAAAAAGTTGGACTTTTAACATCCCAGTATTTGTCAGTGTCACGACCAGAAATTAATGCCCTTCCTACCAAAGATTTAGAAGACCTATTGATGTAGGGGAAAAAAGAAACTACAATGAAAGGGAAAGGGGAGAGCAATATTGAACAAAATACTGAATTTATGTTAATCAATGACTGAAAATATACTTTGGAAAGTTACCTTGAACAAATTAAAAAGTGTCTGGTTCTTTGTTAAAGCACTGCATCTCTTCAAGCTTCTCTTGATAATAAGAAACAACTATATAGCACAGTAAAAACGAATCAAGTAAAATTATGCAAAATGCAAAACTGGTAAAGGGGGGAAAGATGTTACGAGAGTGAAGCAATATCACTCATTTATGTCAGTTAAATATATTAAAACACATCTTGTCTCACAAGTCAAAACATAATCATTAATGGAAAATTATTCTGATTATAGTTAGTATGATCAGGATTCTAAATCATACATGGATTTAACTGACTTCAAGAACTAAAGCCAGATTTGAGAGGTTTTTAAGGAACAAGGAAAGATTCATAGATAGAAGCTCCAACATGATCATATAAAAGATCTACTGACTTGACTTACCTGCATGCTACTGGATAAAACATTATTCTGACTTCCCTCCTCAGTATCCCATGTCTCTTCCTATTGAAGATAGAAGGTTATTCAAGGGAGGAAGTGACAAGCAAATAAAAGAACACAATTGAATGAAATAACACAAATCACCTGAACAAGCTTCTCTAGATTTTCCATCAGTGTCTTCTCTTCCAATTCTACATATATTGTCAAGTGAGGTTCAAAGCAAGATGAAATGATTCCACGAAAGTTGAACTGTCAAAATAGCCAACTCAAGGGTTTAACAGGATTGCCTTGATGAACATGACCAAAAAGGAATAAAAAGAAAAACTCAGAGAACATGGAAGACTACAGCTACAGCCTACAGCAGAGACTAGAGAGGATACAGAGAAGTCAATGATTGTTCTTCACCAACATAACTTGTTTGACCAAACCTATTTTATTTGTAAATTTCAGATTTCTTTCTTTTCACGCCCATCTTTTCCATTTTGCTAAGAAATAAAGTCATTATAAAATAGATTGAAACAACTGCTTCAAGTGAGTTGCACCAAAAACACGCTTGAGTTCAAAAGGCAGCATTTAGGCATTCACAAATATCAGTCCCCAATAACATAGAATTTGGGTAGCAAAGATGAGGATGTTGACATTGATGTATGGTCATGCAAGAAAAGATAAGATTTGTAACAAATGTATAAGCAGACAAGTTGGCATGGAGCCACCAGTGAGGAAGGGTGAGCAAATAGTCTTTAGCCCTACAAAGATAAAGAAGACCAAGAAGGACATTTAAGAAAGTTATGAATCAAGATTTATCGGTAAATGGCATATCAAAAGAATTGATTGTAAATATAGTGCAATGGTGTCGTGCCATCATATAGCCAACCCCACTTAGTGGGGTAGAGCTTCTTCTTGTTAGCTCTCTTAATAAGAAAACAGGGAGGGAATTTATTTGATTCCAAGATTTGAAGAAAGAGAAGTAAATACTATAAATTCATAATGTAGTACATTTTAGCATTAACTCCAATACTTACATGAGCACCCTTACCAATTAAAATTAGGGATTGTTTTAGAGCAACATCATATTCCACTTATCACAAAATAATAAAATTATTACATACCCCAGCTCCAGGCACAGCCAAATCTTTACTCCCATCTTTTTCCTATCAATGCAAAACCAAGACATAATGGTCATTTGATAACCACAAATTTCAATAGTCATTATTGATAATTATTATCAACCCAAAGATTTTAGAATGCAAACCTCATTGCCACTTCCTTGATGTGCAGCAAGCTTCCTTTCATACTTCTTCCGGATATCTGAAGCACTACTGCTAGAATTGCCTCCTCTTCCAATTTCTTCAATCTCATTCCCCATCTCCCTGCTTTGTGTGCCTCCCCCAAATTTCTCAGCCAGTTCATCCTCAAACTCTAAAGTTCGCTGTAATGCCTGCAAGAAATGAACAAGTGAAACCCTGAAGTGACACATGAAATTATAAGCTTTCAAAGCAGAAACAAATTACATCCTAAGGAAAAGCCAGGCATAAGATGGAGGTACAGCTGCATAGAATGATATCAAGTGAAGCAATAATTATAATAACAAAGCCAGTTGTTAACCATTCAATGCCTGATTGAAACCACTGCTTACCAGCAACAGGGTCCCAACATCTGGCTTTTCTTTCAGATTAGCAAGAATGTCCTCAAGCTGTTTCCTGTAATGAAATATATCATAAGCCCAACAATCTTTCTCAACTAATGATGCCGAAAAATTAAAAGACACAAAGTGTGGCAAAATACAATGAAACCCAAAACCTGTTTTATTTTGGATAACATCATATCTGATAAAAATAAATACACACACACACACACAAAATAAGCTCACATCATAGCATCTTATACTTGATAAAATTCAACCCCACAAATATCAGCTCCAGCAAGATGGGGAAACCTAAGTATGTATTCAAGCAATAAAATATAAATATTCCTTGTTTAAATTATCAAGAGCAAATATTGACTATACAGTTTGAGAATCAACCATATTTTGTAATTTCACATAATTTCACAAGGTCATATCAGGACAAACTAAACGGAACAACATTTCCACCATAGCCATGATTTCTTTTAACGGAGAAAGCATCATTAATAGGTTATACTAAGTATCATTAATAGGTTATATTAAGTAGCTGATATAAACAAAGATAGCATACCTCGTCTTTTTGCAAAACAGGATGCAGAGACGGTAAGAAACATGCCATGAAGAGGGAAAGATTTTCCAAATGTCTTCATTTGATCTCATTCGGCGTTTAATCCATGCATATCTTCGTTCTGTTTTATCTAACTTCGCTAATTCTATGAAGATGTAATAAATTAAAGATTAGCAACAATAAATATACATCAACAGAAAAAACATGTTAGCAATAATTAAACACACCAGCTCCTTCAAAAATTTGTTCATATGATGTAAGCTCCCGGCTGCAGAAATTATTCACCAACTCTTCCCTAACAGAGGGCTCCAATGCATCAACTACTAAGCATGCATCAGACAACTGCTGAAGCAAATTAGTTTCTTCTGTCTCCTTTCCAGTACCTAAGCTGAGATGAAAACAGGAAGTCAAAAACCCCCTTAAACAAAAGCTTTTCATAGAATAAAACATTTCCATGTTTAATGAAGTTAAATGCATAATATGAATTATAAATACAAAGATGACCAAAGATCCAAATGAGCAATCAAAATGAAGAATATGTATCCAGATCACACCCACAAGCTGAACAACTTGGAAAGTAGTAATAACATACCTTGAGAAATCAGAAAATACATGTGATTTGAGAATTTGCTTTATATTCTTAAACTTCTCCCTGAGTTCAATGATCTTATGAATATCTCTATATGCTTCAAAGTGACTACATAATTGGTTCACAGCCTGGTAAGTAAGATAATAACGTCAATACTTTGATATGTAAAACAAAATGTGCAGTTTCACGTAATTTATCAGGAATAAGTGACAGAAAATGCATATTGCAGATAAAAAAAATGACTAATATTTTTTCATTTAGGAACAGAGGCAAGAGAAGCAGAACTCTAACATATAAAGCAACTTAGTTAGAAAACTAAACAAACAGCAAAGCAGGCTGCATAACTTCAAGAACATGTCATGAGAAAATATGACGCACCATTCCATCTAGAAAATAAGATAGTCAAAAGTATGAAAGGGTTCCACCAGAGTTACAGAATTCAACAACCAATTCATTATGCTTCCTCAGAACAAACACATGTTCACACAAAATGAACCGTGAGAAGAAACCCACTAAAATCTTTTGCATTGGCTATTTGCTTTTTAGGGGGAGGAAGTATGGTTGGGGTCTGTTTAAGATGAATTTCGTGTGCTTGATTATGCTATAGAGATTCTAAAAACTGTCTAGTTACAACTAATCGAATGATTTTGGTTTTCCTATACATATAAATAAATAAGCCCAAGAACTCAGAAGTCAAAATAATATCAACGAGAATCCAGAATATGGATCTCTAGGAATAACAATATTTCCTCCTTAACAAATAGGGTTAAAGGGCAATTTTCCCTAGAAGTTTTTCCGAAGAAACAATTGGTATCCTAAATTTTGAGTGGCGCAATGTTCCTCTAGAAGTTTCAACAATTTTGCAATGCCATCCTATATAATGTTTGACGAGCATTAACTATTAGATGAACAATATTGACTAGGGCTAAAGAATAATTTTGCTCCAAAAGTTTTTCTGAAAGGGTGATTGGTTAAAAATGAACCTTGAATCCCACCAACATCAATATGAAGCTAAGCATGCTCTATGCTCATGGAGATAAGAGAATCAATGGCTGACTCAACATCACCGTTGATGATGGGAAGTAGGCGGACAGTTGCATTTCTAAGGCAATGTGATCGAGAGGTTGAATACAAGAGTCCAATGAGGCCCTGTCATTGCAGGTTGTTGGCTCCTCATTAGACCCTGTGGAGCAAGAGTAACCCAAAGAGAAGGTTTTCTGGTTGCCCTAACTATCAGCAAGTTCGTATTGTTCTTATTCTCCTCTTCCTGGTTCAACCATTCTCTTCCTCTAGTTATTGGTTACAATGGGTTGTTAGGTCCTTCTTTGAACATTGATCATCCAAAAATATTACACCAATAAAAGTCTAGAATGCCAATTGCTCTTTCAGAAAAATTCTCAAGGCAAAATTGCCCCTTAACCATAGATAGAATTGTTCAACTAATGGCCAATGTTGGTCATCACGTGACATTGCACCATTTTGTAAACTTGTAGGGAAACATAGTACCAATAGAAAGTTTAAGATACCAATTGTTCCTTATTAAAAAAAAAAAAAAACTTTCGACACAAAACTGCTCTTTAACCCTAACAAATATAAGATATGCCATCTAATTCAATCAACTTGTACAATCTAAAAACTCTCAAGTGCCCTGATAAAAAATGGATCAAATAAATCCAAAACTACAATAGATTTTATGAATTTCAAAGGAATTACAATTTATGCACCCAAAAAAAAAATTAATCGAGTGGTAATAGAACCAATGCAGTACATAGAAATTTAGAGAGCAAGTCTCCAATGAGCATGATCTGCAAAAAGAATGAATACCTCCAGCTGGGCAGCTGCCTCTTTATATTGACGTTTTGAAGCCATAACTTGAAGCTGTTCAACAGCAGAGACTGCCATGTAATGGGTGGTGTTAATTAACAAAAAAGATTAAACAATGTCTGTGTTTTAGAAACTATCATGTAAAGCTTCAGAGAGTACAAAGTTTCAATGGTAAGTTTAAAAAAAATAAAAGCAACCAATTTTTTTTAATGTTTTAATGTTTGGATCATTACAGTTGATGTCAACAATAAATTGATTGTAGGCCTTTTTACAATAAACTATGTAGACTTGTACTATACATTCTATTGTAAAATACTTTTACATGAATCTAAGCACTTTGACATAAGAACTTTCCTAATTCATATAAAAATGGGACCTTTTGAAAACAGATTAAAGTAATAAATAGATCATCAGAACTTGTTCATATAGTAAAATGTGTGCATGCATGCGCTTGTGTGGGGGAGAGGGATTATTGAGAGAATAACTTCAAAGACAGGAGAATCATGAATCCTCCTAAAAACAAACAAAAGAAATAAAACTAATATTTCAACCTATTAACTGAAAAGAGATATGCAATCTGATAGAGCTGGTAAATTACGAAGACATATTAGGAGGAAATCAACAGAGACCATGAGGGTAGGAGAAGAAAATACTTCTGGTTTAGGTACTTGTCCTACAGATCCTGACTGTAAAGGGAAAGTAAGTACTGGCATGATGATGTTTTTGGAGTTGCCTAGGGGTATAGCCAATGTTGGGGGTCCTGAAAGTCACTTTTGGGTTTTAATAGTCTCTCTGCCGTTGGTCAAAGGTTCATGGAACATTTTGTAATTTGAGAGTGGTGAGGAGAGACTGGCCTCTTGAATGCCAGCGATTTGAGATCTGTACTCATGTGTTGTTCTGTGATTTCAGTATTATCTCTAGTTTTTAAAGATAGCTCAATAGTCAACATGATCATAACCAATAAGCCTGAGTATGCATTTTAATTTGATTACTATATTCATCAATGGGCAAGATTATGCATATACATAATAATACAACAGATATTCACCTCTATATATATATTACAGTTACACAGATTAGATGCAAACAGTTCAAACGCAATCAAGTAACCCAAAAATAACTAAGAATAGCATCGTTGTACTAGTCTAATTAACAGATCTTAAGTTACCAGGTTCAATTCCTCATATTGGAAAGTATGACCATCATAATAAGTCAATTTCAACATATAAAAGGACAACCAAGATTTACCAAGCATAGTAAGACGGTGAAGAGCAGTAATTGTTGTAGTTATATGCTTCTTGGCAAAATCCAGTTTCTTAATGTCACGACATATTTCTTGAACCATTGTTTCACTTTGTACAGCTTTAGTTTTTATTTCTCGGATCTTATACATTAGTTCCTGCATTATAAAATGAAAACACGTTAAACACAAAACGACACTCAAGCACACAGAGAAAGCTGGAATGAGGAAGAGAGACAAAAGAGAGAATCACAGATAAATGAAAGGAAAAGAAAAGATAAAAATACTTTGAGAGTTGGAAAAAAAAAGAAAAAAGAAAAGAAACTCATAACATTCAACCATGAAACTGCTTTTCATGCACATGCATTCAAAAATACAGAGACAGGTGCATATCTATATATGTAAGAGAAAGAGGGACGAGAGGGTAACAAAATGATAAGGAGTCAGGGAGGGAGACAACCTCCACGGCAGTTGTAGCAGCAGCAAGATCTTCTTTGGCTTTAGTCCTTGAATTACTCTGAAATTACAGAAGTTGAGCTATCAAACAATAGCGGCCAAAAGGTGGATATGATTACAGTTTTAATTATTAATACATTACTACATTCAACCATATTTAGCCCAGGCAATTCAGCAATGCAATCAAGGATAACTCCTACATCCCCCCCCCCAAAAAAAAACAAAAAGAAAAGAAAAAAGAAAAGAAAAGGTCCCATTATCAAAAAGAAGTTCCCTAAGTTTTATCCACAGTATTAACCTTTATGTTGGTTTCGCTCGAATATCACACTAGAATTGATATTGCTCCATGAAAGTTTTCAATAACTGCTAATAGCAATCTGATTTAGCCCCTGGAATATTATTATGTTTTTCAGTTGAGAGGGGTTATGCGAGAATAATATAGGATGAATGTCACGACAAGTCATGCTAGTTCGAAAATTTAAGACAAGGCAGCAGTTCATGGTCAGAGGCACAGATCAAGACCTGGTGGCGAACAGCTGATAAAATTCCAGCATCAACAGTACGAATCTCATTCTGTATCTTTTGCATAAGTGGCTCAACACCAGATAGAGATGCCTCTGGATAATATAGAAAACAAATGAGCATAAAACCAAGCATTAGCAAGAAGAAATGAATTACCTAGTAAAGTTCATGAACTTGCAGTTATAGAAAAACATAAAAGACTAATATATTACGTGTGCTATAAAGTGTCAATGATTCCACTCAAACCCAACATAGTTACATAGCCTGAATTCAAGATTATATCCTGTAAGTGCGCGGTTTAACGGCATCCTTCATGTTCAAATTGACATTATTGATGATTTAGATCGCTGAAATGGTCAACAAATTTTCCCACTACAGTGATCCACATGCTACCATACGCTGTGGCTCAGCAAGACAACCACTAACCCATTGAAGCACATTCTTCTCCATGTCAATAAATGGTAGGGGAAGCCGTTGCCACAGGAGAATTATACAGTTTGCAAGTACGAAATGTAATCAAAACGATTGACCATATGGATTGGAACCAAGTTTGCGAGAAGGACATGATTACCATTGGGAAACATCTGGTTGATATACTCCAAAGCGCTTGACTTGTCCATCGCTGATAGGAGATGATTGAAGACCCACCTCTAAATCCTTGTCCCACGTTCAATCCACACACCAATAACGAAGATTCAACATCCAGATCTCAAATATTGCATCAAGCTCTCAGTGAAAAGAGAAGGGTTGCCAAGTTTAAAGGCGAAGAGGAGAATTAAGAAGATAAAAGAATGACAGAAGAGTGAACACCCACCAAAGTGGCAGCAACAGTTAGAGACTCAGATAGAAAATCAGAGCTCCAAATCTGCCATTTATTCATGTGCTTCTTCCCTGCAGATCGAATTGCAGAGCTGTACTAGCAGCGTGAATTTGGATCCCCTCAAGCATGCACCCTCTTTCGTAACCACGGAGCCAGTCCGGTACAGGGGGCCATATATCAAATTCGACAACATTAAGGACTAACAGGAAAAATAAAGATTGACCAAAAAAAACAACAGGGAAAATAAAGATTGATCTTAAAAAAACATTGAAAATAAAGAAACATTCGTCCCGTTTGATATTAGGGGAAAAAAAATGAAATGCAATCAATTAAAAAAATAAAAATAAATTAAGTCATCCATTCTTTTTATGATAAGTATAATAAAACTTATTAATATATATTAAAAATACAAAAATTATCACATTATCCAAAAATATTATGATTTATTACTCTCAATCTCATGAACTAAGCGTGCGTTTGGATTTCATTACGTTTACATTTCAAAAGTAAGTTTTAACTTTTTGAATGTAAAATGTTATTTGGCTTTTTTTTTTCCAGACAAAATGCACTTTTTAAACTGACTTTTAAATACGTTTGAAATGAAAAAATTTGCAAAGCTGCTCCCACTTGCTTTCAAAACGTGATCAGTTGGCATCCATTTATTGCTGGTACCTAATTTGTTTATTGACCATGATGCCCCCTCACTTTTGCAGCTGATACATATCACGCATACTCTCCTCTCGTGGTCCTCATTTGTGCAGCTGATACATCAGTGTTCTTCGTCCTTTGCTGCTGCTCTGTGTCCGCCGATCGTCCGCCGTTAGTCCGCCACTCGTCCGCCGCTAGTCCACCATTTGGCTATCTCTTCTCCTTCTCTCCTTCGCCTCTCCTCCACCATCACAGATCCGGATCTCTTCCTTCCCTAAGCTTCTCCTTCCTTCATCAACGGTGGCTGCATTTCACCGTTAAGTTCTCCCCATCTCTTTCACGGATCAAGCTCATTTTGGGACTTGGGCGGCATTTCGGAGCTGAGAGAACTCCGACCAGCAGCTTTTGCAACCTGTGGAGTGCAAAGGTGAACATTTCGACCAGCTCGTGGAACTCCAATCCTCTTCTCCGATCTGCTCTTCGATCTGCAAGGTATGATAGCCTCCAAGCTTTTTTTGTCAGATCTGGAAATGGTGCTGCTTTGTTCTGCTCTTCGATGTGATCTGTTGCTTTTCTTGTTCGGACCACCGTGAAGCTCTGTTCTGATCTGTTTCTTTTCTTTTTTGGACCACCGTGAAGCCACTGTTTCGATCTGTTTCTTTCATTTTTCAGACCACCGTGAAGCATTTCGGTCTGTTTCTTTCATTTTTCAGACCATCGTGAAAGCATTCTAGTCTGTTTCTTTCATTTTTCAGACCACCGTGAAAGCATTCTGGTCTGTTTCTTTCATTTTTCAGACCACCGTGAAAGCATTCCGGTCTGTTTCTTTTCTTTTTCAGACTGGTGTGAATTTTTTTTAATTGCCTTGTTTTGATCACATAACAAGAAAATATAAGCAAGCAAGAAGATTAATTATGACTGCATATTGTAATTATTCTGTTCCAGTTTGTTTCTTTCATTTTTCAGACCACCATGAAGCATTCTGGTATGTTTTTTTTATTTTTCAGACTGGTGTGATTTTTTTTAATTGCCTTCTTTTGATAGCTTCACATAACAAGAAAAAATAAGCAAGCAAGAACATTATTTATGACTGCATTTTGTAATTATTCTGTTGATTTGCTGATGTTCTAAAATATGACACGGTGTTTTGGAAATATATTCTGGTGACTGATCTATTAATTGTTCTATGTTGCTTTGTTTTTTTTTAATTTCATTTTGATAAGAATTTGAGCTAATTTATTTTTTGAAAATGGATGAAGGGATGAGAAAGGCTACAAATTTCTGGTCAAACTTGCTTATTTTAATACATACTATTGAATTATATGATTTGAATTTTTGAGTGAGTACAGAAATTATCTTATGGCTGCTTTTGAATAACTGCCTCTTTCGACAAGTATATGTGGCTAAGATAACAAGTGGTTAATTAACTATGATCGAATAATCTTTTTCTCTTTTTGTTTCCAAAAAAAGGATAGTAAAATTTTTAAGAAGGATAAAAAAGGATAGTAAAATTTTTAATATTTTAACTCTAACTCAATTATGAATTTTTACTCCTCAAATTTCATTTGTATTGAGAATGTGATATTTTGATAGTAAAAATGAGTAAAGAGAAGGCACTATGGACTACCGAAGAAACCGAATTGTTTATTAAATTAGCTCTCCAGCAAGTTAAGAAAAATGAGTGTAAAGGCTCTACCTTATCAAAGGAGGGTTGGGAGGCGCTAATGCAACAGTTCAATGCTTTGAGTTCAAGAAGTTATGATAAGAAGCAGTTGAAGAATAAATGGGACAATTTGAGGAAAGATTGGAATATATGGGACAAGCTATTAAACAAAGAGACCGGTTTGGGATGAGATAGTGAAAAGAATACTGTTTCAGTACTAGAGGAGTGGTGGAGTCAAAAGATTAAGGTATACAATTATACATGGCATGCTAAACATTTCATATTTTATTTTATAGATATATTAGACTCAGTTCTTGTAAATGTGCAGGAGAATCCTGAGTATAGGAAATTCAGGCATAGACCACTTCCATATACACAAGAATTGACACAGTTGTTCCAGCCAGTTGCAACACAGGGCACTTACATGTGGACACCTGCGGCTGATGATCCACAAGATGTGTACAGGCCTCAATTGGATTTGACCGAAGGATCAGGAGACAGTGATGATATAAGAAACATTAATGGAGGAGCTCTACCAGGAATTGGGCAGGTTAACTTGAATAATGCATACAATGGTGGTACTAATTTAGGGAGCAAGCAAAAGAGAGGTGAAAGTGGTCAAAACAAAAAGGGAAAACGTCTTGCAACGGTGATGGTTGATTCAGTGAGTCGATTGGTGTCCACACAAGAGGATAAGGTTTCAACATTGAAGTCAATTCTTAATTCCATAGAGGGTGGAACAAAACCAGTTGACCAAAATGTGTTGGAGGTTGCAAAGGAACTTTATGGAATCAAGGAGATTGCTTATGAGGAGGTGCTTCTTAGACAGTGTGCTGTGACCTTGCTAGATAAGACCGCAAGGGACATGTATATTGGGCTTAGGGACAACAGAAGAGCATTAGTGGCCTATTTGAGGTGCTTGGGCAAAAAATGAAATTAGATCATCTTAGCTTGCCTTCTAATGTTTTAAAATTTAGCTAGTGTCGTTCATGTTATTAATTTGTTTTGAAACTGATTGTGTTATTTGACTCTTGTGTTATGTGTTTCTTACGTTAAGTCATGGACAAATAGTGTAATGGTTGTTTAATTATGCTATGCAGTTTTTATGGATGACAATACGCAATCTCGCTTATTACAATTACTTGTACATGCGGAAGACGATGAGATTGAGGCTATTACTGCAATAATATCCAATCACTCAACAACTTTATTGAAAGAGCCTTGTAGAACCAGTTCACAATCAGGTCATGCATGGGTGCAAGAAATTTTGCAAGGGCATCCTCAACGTTGTTATGATATGTTTCGTATGGAAAAAGATATTTTTCTTCAACTTTGTGACGAACTAGTGCAACATGGCCTACGTCCAACCAGAAGAACAGGGATTCATGAAATGGTCGGTATGTTCCTAAATATTGTTGGACATGGAGTGGGGAATAGGATGGCACAAGAACGATTTCAACATTCAGCAGAGACTGTTCACAGGCATTTTAGAAATGTATTACATGCTTGTGAGAAGCTAGCAAAGGAATATATCCAACCAAAAGATCGCACTTTTCAAGATATTCATCCAAAAATTTTAGGTGATCCGCGATATTAGCCATTCTTTAAAGATGCCATAGGAGCAATTGATGGCACACATATCCCATGTGTGGTTAGTGTTGAAGAGCAAGGGAAATATATTGGAAGGAAAGGTATTCCAACACAAAATATAATAGCTGCATGTGATTGGGATATGTGCTTCACTTATGTCATGGCTGGATGGGAAGGGACTGCTCATGATACTCGTTTGTTTGACTATGCTCTCACGAGGCCAGACATGAAATTTCCACATCCACCCCAAGGTATATTTTATATTTATGTAATTTAAACAATTATTTTAATATTTTTTGGGATCTTATAATTTCTATTTTTTTATTGGTAGGTAAATATTATTTGTTAGATGCTGGCTATCCAACTCCACGTGGATATTTAGGTCCTTATAGATCTCATAGGTACCACCTCCCAGATTTCAGGCGTTCATCTGGATTTGCAAATAATAATGAGATTTTTAATTATTATCATTCAAGCTTAAGGACTACGATTGAAAGGACTTTCGGGGTTTGGAAAAATAGATTCACAATCTTACGACATATGCCTAGCTATCCATTTGTGCAGCAAGTTCGTATTGTTGGTGCAACAATGGCTATACATAATTTTATTAGAAGAAAATCTGTAACTGATTCTAATTTCAGGCATTTTGAGGATGAAAATATGGTTAACACTATCGATGATACTGATGAGCCTGCATTTTCATCAACAATTCCAAGTGCAATTTCAAGCATAGCTTCTGATAGAGAAATGAATAAGGTTCGAGATTCTATTAGAGATCAGATTGTATATTATAGATCGAACCATTAATCATGTAACTATTCAATATTAATGAATGTTTAACTATTTATTACATAATTTTTTTCCAAAATTAAATTTTATTTTTTAAATTCTTAATATTTAACATTTTAAATTTTATGTCATTTTAAATTTGATTCACCTTTTTTTAATATATTACATTTGTATAATAAAAATTATAAATTATCATAAATCAATGTCCTTTTTGGTCATTACATATTAAAAAGTACATTTGAAAAGCATAAATTTTTATTAATCCAAACAACTTTCAGTTTGCCAAACTGACTTTTGAAAAAATATATCCAAACACAAATTTCGTTACAACAACTGACTTTCACGAAACTGACTTTTGCCAAATGAACTTTTATCAAACTGACTTTTGACAAACTGAAAACCAAACGCACACTAAATTACACATGTTCTTTATGAATGTAGTTCATTATTTTTTTTAATCATCTCATTTTTTTTCTTTATTTTTTCAATTCATTCTATTCTATTTCTCTCTAATAATTAAATGAGACCTACATTTCATATGTCACCCAAAAGAAAATAATGTAACAATTAACCAATTAACTCAAAAACTTAAAACAATATCATGAAAATAAAAGAGTTAAATGAATTAAAATAATTATCATGGTATAAAATTATGACTAATTATACAAAACATTAATCATGATAGAAAAGATTCAACTTAATTTCATAAATCCAATTTAATAAAAAACAAACATGGTTCAGAGAATAAACCTTACTCAAAGGTTTATATGTAGGAAGTATCAATACTTCAAATTGTCTCTCACATTCATATATGTATGGTACTTCTTCAATATATACCTGTGGAGTATGAAAATATTTTTTTTTTAAAAAAGTAATTTTTGATACATATTTGATACTTTTAAACTGTGATCAATATTTTAAAGTTGATACTTTAAGAATATTTTAAAAACTTAAAATTTTTTAAATATTGTGAAATTAATTTTTTAAAATTTTTAATATATTTTTGTGATTTATTTTTAAACTCAATCATTAGATTTTTCTTATAAAATAAGTTTTAGATATAATTAAAATATAAAGATTATATTTTCTTAACAATAAAATGTAAAAATGTAATCTTTTAGCATATAAACCCTCAGTAGAAAATTGTTAACAAAAAATAGATGGTAAATAATTAGGTATAGATAGAATAAAAAATACAATTAATAATTATGTTCTATTTAGTATTACTATAAAAGAGCATATAAATATACTAGTTTGGATATTTTCTGAATTGAAATTATATTTTTAATAATTTTTAGGGTAAAGGTGCAAATTGTAACATCCTATAAATTTAAATCTGATTAATTGAGTTTAATGAGGGTAATTAAATGAATTAATGTAGTGTGTGGCTAGAAAAGTCTAATTTGGGTAATTGATTGTGATTTCAGCTTTAAATGCGAGTTCGAAGTGAAGTCGGGGTACTCAAGCATCAAAAGCAAAGGAAAAGGCAAAGAAAGATTCTTTGTGCCACATGCTGCGACACACAAAAGCAACCAATGTGAGCTGGGCCTCTTTGTGCCATACGCTGCGGCAGGAATTAAGAAGTTAGATGATTGGGAATTGCCCAAAGATAGGGTAATAATGTTATCCTTGTGATATGATTGTAGATTAACCTGATTGGGATCATTCAAGCTTAAGGAGAAGCTTTGAAAGTTGGTATTTTGAGGGGCAAACATTTGACCTCTCAAAGGTTTGAGGTAATTGGAAAAAATCTAGTTTGTATAGTTGTATATTAATTAATTATTTGTTGGAAATTGTTGGTTTGAAACATGTTTGATATTTTGAATATTCATTTATACAAATTTGGCATTTTGAAGTTGTGTTGAGTTGTTGAAAGCAAAGTGCAAGCTTATACATGTGTGAAAAATGAGGATGATGATGAAGAGTATGTTATTATGTGTTTAATGGTATATGGAGTATAGTGGAAATAGAATTTTATAAACGTGATACAATAGGATTTATGTGTATTAAATGGCATACAGCTTGTTATATGTGTATAGCATGATAATTAGTGGGAGTTTGCATAGAGAGAGAAGTATATTAGTAAATCCACGTAGTATTGGTGGCTTATTATTGGAATCGGAAGCTTGCCTTGGCACTAATCGTTGAAATTGAGAGGTAGCTATTATCTTATGGTTGACTTAGGACTATCTCACTTATTCTTCGAGGGACTTGAACCTAACAAGTCTCTATCGATTCATGATGAGGCTAAATTAGAGGTACAACACTTAATGGTTGTTGTTAGTATTAGGGGAAATCACAATATACAAGTGAGTGAGTTAACCTGGCTTAATAGCTCCTTACAAGTGAAAGGCTGGGTTAGTCCGAATTGTGGACGTAGCCACTTGATAGTCACCGATTTCATGTTGAAGGTAATAAGAGGATATAAGGTTGGCATTGATCATGCATTTAGTTTTGACCATATGGTTGTTATTATTATGATGTGCATAATTAAATACATGATGATATGTGTTGTATGCCTAGTCACATAGTTGTTATTGTTGTGGCCGAGGCTATATTTGTCAAATGTGTGTGATATATGAGTTTATTACCATTTACATCCATTTTTAATTGATATGCAACTATATAAACTAAGTGGACCTTAGCTACTAAGTAGTTGTATTCACCTCTCATTCTTCAATATTTTTAAAGCCTTGCTCATCGGACCAGGATTGGGAAAAACGACCAGAAGCTTAGGATTCTGAGTAAATCCTACTAGTAGGCCTCTTAGATTTATTTTGATGTGTATTTTGATAGTTAATTTGCCAACTATAACTCATATCATTGTTTTGATCTACTTACATTGTCATTGTGAAAATTATGTGTATTTTATGTCCTGAGTTAGTGAGATGTGGTTGTAAAACTTGTATAGGGTTGAAATACTTGTGTAAGTAGAGTAAAGTGTATTTTGATTGTTTTAGGATGATTATTGATGGTTTATGCAAAAATTTCCTCCCCTTTTGTGTTTTTGTGAATCGAAGGGTTAAGGATTGAATTTATAATATATGCATATTTGAATAGGTATAGCATGTTGTATAAGTCCAAAATGGTCCATTAAGTGTGGTCTAAAAGTTGGTGTAGATTTTTGGCACATGTATAAGAGTTTAAGCACCCTAGTTGTGTATATTTATGAAAAAGAAGTGAAATTGGTATTAGGCATCCAACTTTTGCTAGAAAATGAATTTAATTGTGAAACTTGTGCCATTAGCTAGAGCTAGGAGAAGGCTCTCTGTAGACACCTAAATCACCTTAATCGGACATCGGAGGAAGATTTAGGACACATCGAAAGTTCATCCCCCATACTATTAATTTGATAGCAAAGTGTTATCAAAATCATGCAATGCATTGTGGCACATGGCACAAAGACATGCATGCCGCGGTGCATGTGCTGTTTTTTGTACTATTTCTCTGTTTTGAGTTTTTATGCAAATGTTTCAATTCTTTCTTGATTCCCATGCTTCCGCAAACATTTTAAACTCTGATTTGAAATTATTAAAAGTGTATGGGATCATTTTA